ACTAGTCATATTTACAACACTCAAGGAGATACCAGGATGCTCTGGTCAAGTGTGTGACCATGCTTTAAAGAAAGAAAATTCTTTAAATGTCTCTTGAGACTTTTGAAGTGAGCTATTATTCTATGAGACATACACTGAAAAATTCAACGAATTTAGAGTATATTGCTACAAGAACAATTTCTACTGAAGCAAGTGTTATTAAAGCTCAGATTTCACAGTAGACCAACAGAGAGTGTTGAATTCTTACTGTTGTAGAATACAATTTGAGAGGGCACAGAGAGATCCAGATAGCATAAATGAACCTCAGATACCTATTTAGATTTAGAGAGTAGAACTAAAGTAGGACACCAAACAAGCAATTTTTCACAGCTTATCAGAGTGGTCTTCAGGAAAAGCCAGAACATTTGGTTTTGTCTTTAACATGCAGAATTGGTTACTGGCAGAGGTGACTCAGTTCAACATCTTCAGTTTGAATGGGGTCTTGAATCTGTATGGTATAGATTCAAGAAAAGATATAGGGCTCCCCAGAACTAAATAAAATGCCCATCTACCTATTTTCAGTAAAGTATAGATATTTAAAAACAAGAGTTCTCTAAAAACCTTTAAAATGTGATTTAAATCTCATCTTTGTCATATAGTAGTGGAGAATTATATGAAAGTGGAGGCAATGATAATCTGTTTTATTTCTGTAAAAAGCCAAATTTGATATCCTACTCTACCCTACTAGCCAACTCTATATCATTTGGGGAGGCAGAAATTATCAGCCAAGGGGTGAAAGTGGGCCTGATACATTCTTGAGGAACATGAAAGATATGGGATTTTACTGTGTTCTAAGGGTATAAAAAATATGGCCAAAAACAGAGGCTGGGAAATTCTGTGAGTCTCTAGGACTGAAGATATGTTTTCCCCTTAGGTAAGAATGTGATAGGTATTGGTTTAAGATATTCTATAACTTGCCATTAGTTTTTAATAAAGGTAAATGCTGGCAATTGTGAAATGTGATATTTGATTTGGTCTCACCTACCAACCTATTTTGAGCATTAAAAAAATGCAAAGGCTGAGCATTATAGAAATATTGATCAATTGCTCATCCACTAACCTAAGCATATGTGCCTTCTTTATTTTCATAATCATCACAGTATCCTCACAAATATTAGATCTAAAAATATAATTGCGGCTGAAAATTATATCATGCTTTCTATGTGCTAGCCATGTTTATAAGAATCTGACATATTCTAAGGAATATAAATAATCACATCAAATTTACGTACTAGGTATTATTATCATTGCTAATCTATATAAAAGGAAACTAAGACATAGAGTTTAAGTAACTTGCCAAAAGTTTCAAAGGTAAGTACTAAAGATGTGATTTGAACACAAGCTTTATAATCAAAGTTCTTAAGCATTATGCCATGAGAATTAAAAAAAAATCATTTTTTAAAAATATCCAAGGACTTTGTCAATTTAAGGCCATTCAGTCCTTTGCTATTTCAACATTCTCTTTTGATCTTTTGAAATGCATATTCCATCTTAATCTTTGTTGATTTCTCTTCAGATATTACCTGTTTAAACTCTCCCAGATCCTCAGTTATCAATGACAAATCTAACAGTGTTCAACTTCATAAAACATGAGTCTTGAAAGTTCAAAATTTTACGTTGTGATACGTTTGCATTTTATTGTTGGATATTTCCAACATACAAAAATCAGCCTCAGACTGGAAGACTAAATATAGTGTCAACAGTCATGTTGCGCTAGAGTGGTGAAGAGGTGGATGGACTGGATCTATTTCTATAACTGATCAGTATATATTAGCAAATATTTTCTTGCTATGACAAGTTGTTAACCCTGACACTAAAGGTTCTACCCCTTTTATCGACTGCTTTTTATTATGTCTTTCTCCTTTCAACTAAGTTCTACTTCACTTGAAAATCTGCAGGAACAACTCTGGAATATATATTCATTGTATCGAGAAAGAATAGAATGTGTACTGTCAGTTTTCATACTGCATTTATAAAACCTCAAAGCCAACTCATATTTTTTAATTTTTACTTGTCATTGCCAGTATCTTAGGTTACATGTTACATTTTCCGCTAATAATGGGTCATAAATTATTAACAGCCACCATTAAGATCCTTTCCTTCTTTACTCTAAGTTAAATTATTTATAAATTTCATATTAAAATATGTTTCTAAGTTTATGAGGAAAATGCATATATATTATTGGTTATAACACAGCATATAAGTTCTCTAAGAGCACTTGTAATGTAAAAATATATAAGTCAAAAATAATTGTGCTATAAATAGCTAGAGATTTATTTTATCTCCTTCAGGGTGCTGTTATAACCTTCTGCTCTTTTCATAGTTGATTGCTGATGGATGAAATACTAACATTTCCACTATATATTGCAGAAAGAAAGAGTGGAATGAATACAGAAGGAAGCCAGTAAACCCTACCTTCCCAGATCCTTCCTTGCATGTACCTCATAGATGGCCAAGATATCAACAGACTTCTAAAGATACTGCTCTCACATAACTTTCATATGAACTGGAAGGACACTTTTCAGACATAAAGCAAATTCCAATCAAAGGTAAAAAACTAAACTAAACTTTGTAGAAGATGAACTTTATTATTGGTTGAATTATGTCTTTCATAAAGATATTTGAAAATCCTGACCCCAGTAGTTCAGAATGTCACCTTTTTTGAAATAGGGTTGTTAAAGATGTGACTAGATAACTTAAGATGAAGTCATAATGGAGTAGAGTGCACATTTTCCATTACTGGTGTCTTTTTTTCTTTTAATCCTCATCTGAGGACATTTTTTTTTATTGCTGTGTGTGTGTGTGTGAGAGAGAGAGACAGACAGACAGACAGACAGACAGAAAGACAAAAAGACAGAGAGACAGATGTGAGAGAGAAACATCAATCGGTTGCCTCTCATGCACGCCCCGATTGGAGACAGAACGTGCAACCTAGGTATGTGCTTGGAACAGAAATCAAACCCACAACCTTTCAGTCCACTGGTCGATGCTCCAGCTGAGCCACACTGACCAGGGCTGACTGGTGTCCTTTCAGGAAGAGGCATCATGATGTGATGACAGGTGCAAAGAGAAGGCAACATGACTATGGAAGCAGAGACTGGAGTGATGTATGCACAAGCCAAGGAATGCCTGGTGCTACAGAAGCTGAAAGAGACAAAGAAAACTCTTCCCCTTTAAGGCTTCAGAGGGAGCATGGCCCTTGGAGAGACAGAGAGAGAGGTTGACTTAGCTGTCCAGTTTTCGATATTTTGTTATGGCCACCCTAGGAAACTCATAGAAATGTGAATGTAGCACTAACTTCAAACATGCACAGGTGAAGCGCTGCCACTGCCATTCTATGATGATTAGCAATTCCCCCTTTGGATTTAGATTTGGGTATTATGATAGTACATAGATTTTGTCAGATCATGAAACTCTTTGGCAAGAGTTTCAAATGTTAATAAAAACTAAAAATACTATAAAATAAAAAAATAGGAACTAAAAAACAAAAACAAAAGCACAATATATTCAAATATGTCAGACACACATAGATCAAGGTGGTATGTCTCAATTATAAATTCATTTTGATGTAATTAGTCATTTCTTGAGGTATATTTTATATTCGTATAACTATAAAATTCCAAAGAGTTTCATACCTGGAAAATGAATCATAAGGTATATGACAACACAGATACCTTAATTACATTTTTGTCTTTTTACCCTAAAATTCCAGAGTTCAGTTGCTTAAATCTTAGTGCCAAGGACTTAGTAACTACTCAATAAATGTAGGCTGAATTAAAAAGATAATGAAAATGATATATATTTTAATTAACTGGAATGGCAAGAACTATAGTCAATTTGCTTACAAGGTCATGCTAATATGAAGTCTCTAAACTAAGTTACACTGTTCTAAAGCTTAGAAATACTTGCATGATAGGATGGATATTCTATAATGTCAGATTTTTTAAAATAAGCCATAAAATTAACCATAAAAGATGAATGGTATAATGTTATGGAAATAGACTATTGATTTTTTTTTGAAAACTAAATTAACTGCTATACACAGCAGCAAAATATACCTCAAGATACACTATAAGTCAGCAGAATTCTTTAGTGCTATCATCATTTTCCTAGTCACTCTAGATTGGATTTTTTTCTCTAACAATTCCTGAAAACTGTACATATTTCTGGAGAAATCATGTCCCTTGCTTTACATTTCCAGTACTATCCAGGACTGGTTTAGATTCTTTAATCTGACTATCACATTTACTTCTACTTGTCTGCCTGTCTCAGTGACACACACGTAACAGCATCTCTATCTTTCCAAATGGCTCACATAAACAGCTTTTATGTATTAATATATTCTCCTTAATTACAAGTTTTTTACAGGTATCATTTAGGAGTTAATTTTCAAAGAAATGAAATTTAATATTGGGGACTTAATATTAAATACAAATTAAATATATTATAATTGATCCTTGATTATTGAAAAAGTACTGGAATAAGTACATAATTCAATATCATCTTAAGTCATTTATTTACATTATGTTATATAAGTGCTCAATTGCTGGTCAGTAGTTTCCTTGAATACTAAATAAACAAGGTTTTATTGACTTATAGAAAATAAAACATTACAAAGTCTCCAGAGTATACCTGAAGGTAGTTTATAAATGTAATAAAATAAAGAACTGGTAATTCCTTTATATATTTAAGGTATAGAAATCTGTCAACTACCTCTTTTCTTAAACTGTAAAATGTAACAAAGTTACTTGAAATTAATATTACTTATAGACTAATATAATAAATTAATTTATAATAAAAATAAAAATAGTCAAATTTTACTCCAAAAATATTGTATGCCCACACTCTCAAATAATATAGGTTAAACATACATTTTATTAATATAGAATAGGTTTGCACCAATGTAAGTATTTTGTATATGCTATATTTAGTAAGTTTCTTAATTTAATCATGAACCATACCTGAGTTAGTTCATTAATATCTATAAGCCCGTTACTGTCGGCATCAAAATAGTTAAACATTTGATCCACCAACAACTTCTTCCGAGATGTGTCATCATCATTAGGGTTTTCATTTTCTTGCGTAATATCTTTTTGATTTTGCAAATCTAAGAGCATGATTTTCATCTTGCTGTATTCAGTGGCCTTGCAGTTCTCTCCTGTAACAAAAGCACTAAGTTATTTTCAAAGCAATATTATTAAAAATAAGTCATTTATTTTATTAATGTTTACAAGCTCATATTTTATGGATATCATACTTTGTACATATGTTTTATGTTTCTATGTTGCATATTTTACAACTTGTGCAAAGAAAAAATTGGCTGTTTTATGGCAGGAAAGAAAATTTTCATCTTATCAAATCTAAAAACATATATATACTCTGTATTTCCTCTATGGCAAAGTCATTGTTTCTATGAGGGACAGAGAAATACACGATAACTCTAATAGCCCCCAGTGCTTAAAGGCATTATCTGAGTTTTAACCCTCACAATACATCCTTATATTGATAGTTCCATAGATTTTTTAAAAAAAATATTTTATTTATTTGCTCTTAGAGAGAAGGGAAAGGAGCTAGAAGACAGGGGAGAAACATCACAGTGCAAGAGAAACATCAATGGGTTGTCTCTCTCACTCCCCAGACCTGGGACCCAGCCCACAACCCAGACATGTGCCCTGACCTGGAAACAAACTGGCGATCCTCTGGTCCCTGGGATGATGCCCAACCCGCTGAACTATACACCAGTCAGCCCTGGTTTCACAGGTTTTGAACATGAGGCATAAGAAGATAAAATGGCTTGATCAAGACAAAGGGTGAGATTGTCCTGAATTTTGCACGTAAATGCATGTATATCTGGCTCCAAATTACTATAGCATATTTTGAATTGGAGGCATTTTTTTAAATATTTGGGTTTGTTTTGAAGAAGTTTAGTGTCTGTATTTATATATTTTTTGACATTTCAGATTTTTTTATTGCTGTTCAATTATGGTTGTCTTGCCTTTTTTTAAAAAAAAAATTTTAATTCTATTTATGATACCACTAAGCTCACACTTGTATTCTTCTGAAAGTCCTTACTTATTTTCCAGTACCCATTTCTCTCTCCTTTTAGAGCACTCACTGCATAACACTATATATTTACAAATTGTATCTTGAAGTTTTAACTTTTCAAATTTCATCTCCACTACTGAAGTGTAAGTTTATTGAAGTAACAGTGCATTACATATTTTCTGTATCTCCCATATAATAACCATCAGAATAGTGGAAACATCACAGTTAATGAAAATAATTGCTTGGCTTAATGTCTTAAAAAGTACTGCAATTGTTCTAAAATCTTTATGTGATTATTTTACAAAGGATTTTAATTACAATGGACTCATATAGTGATGTCTTTATAAATAGTGCATTGAAATGAATTGCATACCATTAAGAGTAAATGTGATATAAACTACAGTACAGAAAATACAGTGCTTAACATAATTTATAAATGAAAATTAAAGTTGGTATTATAGTACCTAAAATGTTTTTACAACACATTTTAAGGAAAAAAAGCTAACTTTTAATGGTGGTCAACTTTGACGATTAGAATTTGACAGACTCTATACTTTTAAAAGAAGATTTCTAAAGAATTTTAAATATATGTCTAAGAAGCCTGGGTTGAAAAGCAATATTTGAAGTTTCATTCTCTTTTAAGACATGACAGAAAACAATCCCTGCTAGAGAGATGAGAGACTATCTTATTTTTCAAATACTGAAATGACTACTGTTGTTCATCAATTTGTTTATCAATGCTGTGAAGCATTTCTTTTTTTTTCAACAAAATGTAAACTTTGTGCTGAAGATTAAGTCAATTTTGCATTATTCTGTTTTCAGTCAAGAACAATAATATGTTTTTATAATATCAAAGAAACCTCTAACAAAAGAGAGAAGTAATAAAATCCAGAATAATAGGTAGCAATTTTGGTTTCCATGAAAACAGCACAAAGGAGACTTCAAATGTGTGTATAGGTGTGGGTATATGCTGGGTGCATATGTGTGCATGTGGGTGTGCTTCAGGAAGAGAGGGAAAAGTGTGATGAAAAATGAGAAAAGGTATAATTGAACATTCCAATAGCCCCACCTAGAATTTCTGTATTTGACCTTGGACCTATATGTCTTTTCATTTGACTGACAGGGAGAGGAGGGGGCTTGATATTGGAGGAGCTGACCTGTGATCATAGCCAATAAGAAGATCAGAATGTTTATGAGAGGTAGATGGAAAAGAGAATTTAAATACTGAAAACCCTTCAACTAACATTTAAAATTTAAGGAAGGGGATACAGTTTGGGTTTTTGCACTCTAATTTTAGTCTATTCAAATAATGTGATAATCATGATGCTTTCTGTTAATACTTTCATTTCCAAATTGTAAGTTTTCTAAGTTTAAGCATTGAGGAATTGCTGGCAATGCAAAGAAAATAAAAATAAAAGCTTTGAAGTTAAGGCATACATATTCTCCAGAAATGTACAATAAGCGGTAGTAAAATTTTCTAAAACTTTGTTTAAATTACGGATTTAATTAAAATCTCTGTCACACAGTTTAAGTAATAAAGAGGTTCATCTGTTTTAATAATAAATTACATGTAATGCAGGCTTCCCAGGTACCAGGGATTTCGTACCCATTAAATCACTTAACTCTCACAGCAATCCAAAAAGACAATATAATTATTACCATTTTATAGATCACAAACCAAGAAACAGAGATTATATAACTTGTTCAAAGTTTCAGAGCTAGAAAGAAACAGGATGCTTTTTACACATAGGCAGTATCTTCTCTATGTTTATTCTCCACTTCTCTGGTCTTCAGAACTGAGTTTTAAAGTCAACTTATACATAGATTCAGTAAATTTGTCCAAGGGTTATTTATAAAGTGAAAAAGAAATCTAATAAAATCAAGGCAATACTGTGGCTTAAATTACAAGTATAGAAAGCAGAACTAGAAAAAAAACAGCAGTATCTGAGAAGCAGGAAAAGTTTAAGAAAGTACTGAAGAGGAGGAAGCTAAAGGGAAAGAACTTTTCAAGAAAGATGGAATGACAAAATGTCAATTCTTTCAGAATAGAAGATAAACAATAAAACATGCCCATTACATTGTTTAAATTAGAGGTCATTAGTGACTTTAAAGGACAATTTTAGTGAATAATTGAGCAGAATTCATACTAGAGAAGGTTAAGGAGTAAAAACAAAGTGAGGATTTGGAGGTATTAAATAGTTCCTACCATTTCAATAAGTTTCAATGTGAAAGAAAAGGAGCCAACATTATTAATGAAGAAGAACAGATACTTAGACAGCATGGCCTCAGCCAAGAATGGCATCAGGCAGGAAGGTAAGAAAGTTTTGTTGCGCATTAGCGTGCTTGGTAGGATTCCTTACTCAACACTTAGTCAACTGGCTATGCTAGATTGGTGTAGCTAAGGGAAAGAAAGGCTTTCCTGATTCACTTCATGCTTAGGAAGGCCAGGAAGAAATCTGTTCTGCTGACTCTGTCCCAGACACAGAAAACAAGATAAAGGAGGTCCCTGTGTGGTAGTACCTACATCACCTTTCTCCTTATGACACCATTGCTGTGCTGATTCTCACTTCAGAGTCATTTTATAAGGGGAGTTATAACCCACTTGGCCTTGTGGGGCCCAGATAGATGCAGGAACTCTGACATTCAAATGTCAGATTCCCCAACCAGTGTAGATAACAGTACCTCTCCATGCCTCGATGGAACTGAGGATAATTATATTTTCCATAGCTGATGGTACAACCATCAGATTTGAGTACATAAGTGCTCGGAAGTATAGATTATATCAATTATGCTTACTATTATGTTTTTCAAAGGCTGTAATTTATTTCTATCTTTTTGAAATTACACTTTTATCCATCCCTCCCATCCATCAGTAAAAAGTACCATTTCCCTTCAACACAGAATTATTCAAATCTAAATATATAAGAATACCAATTTTCTCTTTGTATCATACAGAGTTAGAATTTGATTAATTTTATATGTAAGCTAAAATCTTAAAAATTCAAAGAATAAAAATTGAATTTTTTTATTTTAATGTCAACTCTATTCATTATTAGAATGCATATTGAAACTATTTTTTCCTCAAACCATTCCATAATTGCTAAAATAATTCTCTTACATACTTTTCCCCGTCTACATACTTTTATAAAAATACTTTGTATTTATAGCAAAGTAACATGTTAAAACTTTAGCATATAGATTTAAAGAGCTTCTATAAGTTAAATTCAACTTAGAAAACCACTACATTCATGTTAAGTTGTAGGTTGTTAAAATGTGCGTATGAAAGCAATTAAAATTATCTTCTTTAGAAGTAGTCTGAACAGAATTAAAACAAAATTTAACTGAAACATTTATTTAAATGTCAAAATGATAAGGGCAATTTTAAATTATTTTCTGTTACACAAACTTTACTTAAATGTTCTTATTGAAAAGTATATTACAGATTAATTTTATACATAAAATTAATGTAAACCTACTATGTTTCAGATATTATTCTAATTCTGGAAATTTACTAGTACAAACACCCATACAGATACAACTTTTAAACTTCTTTGGGTAAATACCAAGAAGTCTAATTGCTGGAATATGTGGTGAGACTATGTTTAGTTTTGTATAAAACTGCTCAAGTGTCTTCCAAAGTGGCCATACCATTTTGTTTTCCCATCAGCAATGTATGAGGTTTCATGTCGCTTCATATCCTCACCAGCATTTGCTGGTGTCAATGTTCTGAGTTTCACCATTCTGTTACATGTGTAGCGATAACTCGTTTATGTTTTACAGGGAATTTTTTAAGTCAATAAATGGCTATATTTTACAAGATATATTTTCCCTCTCCTGTCCTTTTATTCATTATATGATAAAATTTTTCTACCTTCCTTAAGCTATTTTAAAAGCTATACTTCTTGGACTTTTAAATGATTAAGATTTGAATGACCCATGGACATGGTCAACAGAGGGGGAATTGACTGAGGGGGCGGGGTGGGATGGGTAGAGGAGGGCAAAGGAGGGAAAATTGAGACAACTATAATAGAATAAACATGATTTAAAAATTAAAAAATACAATAATAAAAAGAAAAGAAATAAGTGAAGGTAAAAAGCAAAAAAAGAAAAAAG